CTAGTCCATCATCATACCCAAAAGTCCTGAGTTTGATTTTGACAGAGGAAATGATATTAAACTGTGTTATCCATGGCAAGGGCAAGGGAGGAGAGGAAATGGCAATCTTAGGAGGAATTACACTGAAGGAAAGGGAAGCAGTGGGGAAATATAGATCGAGTATGGAATAATTGTTCTTAATCATGCATTCATAGTAACATCACCAGCAACAATAGCAATGCCAGTATAACTGTGGCTCACACAATTTGTCTTAGTTAGGGTTTCTATTGCTGCAATAAAACAACATAACCAAAAAGCAAGTTGGAGAGGAAAGGATTTATTTGGCTTATACTTCCATGTTGCTATTCATTATTGAAGGGAGTCTGGACAGGAACTCAAACAAAGCAGGATTCTGGAGGCAGGAGCTGGATGCCGAGGCCATGGAGGAGTGCTGCTTACTGGTTTGCTTCTTATGGCTTGCTCAGCCTGTGTTCTTATAGAATCCAAGACCACCATCCCACTGATGATACCACACACCAGGGGCTGGGCCCTTCCTCATTGATCCACTAACAGAAAATGCCTCACAGCTGGATCTCATGGAGGCCTTTCCTCAACTGAGGCTCCTTGCTCTCTGATGACTCTAGCCTGTGTCAAGCAAGTTGACCCACAGCTAGTATGCCATTGTCCCAGTACCATTTCCGCTGAAGCCATTTCACCTGTAACTATTCAGTTCCCACTTTTGCTCCTCTACCTCCACCGTTATTACCACTTCCTGCCAGTACTGCCTCCTATGGCTCTTAGTTGACAGGACTAGTGTCTTCACTTGTGGTAAGTCTTTTGTATGTAATACTGTATTACAACTGTACAGCATTACATCGAGAAAAAAAAAAACCATTCTCACTATCTTCCATAAGGAACTGGAGCTAGATACTAGTTTGTTTCATGAGATCTCAGTCATTCCTTAATCCATCCCCATAAGGCTGGTCACCCATGTAGTTACCCTCACCATCAAATTGTTTTCAACCACAGCAAAAGTTTGTCCTTTTGATCTTGAGAGAAGAAGTCCTACCTTTAACATTTGTTTATAAAAAAAAAAATTGATGTGAAGCCTGGAGAGATGGCTCCACAATTAAGAACACTATCCTCTTCCGGGGGACTTGGGTTTCATTCCCAAGGCTCACATTGTGGCTCACAACCATCTGTAAGTCCAGTTCCAAGAGATTTAATGCTCTCTTCTGGCCTCTAAGAATGTCAGGCTCAAACACAGTGGGTGCACAGAATTAAATGCAGAGGGAACTCCTATACATAAAATAAGACAACAAAAATAAAATAAAAACTGATATGACTTAGACATGGTAGTAGATAAGTGTAATCCCAACATGTAGGAGGCTGAGGCAGGAAATTTGTGAGTTTGAGCCCTGACTAAGCTACATGCAAAAACAGTGTGGAGGAACAAACTGGCAAAGACATTTGAATAAATATGGTTTTCTTCTGTTTGGATGAAGATGTCGGTGATTTAGGATTACATAGTGCAGAGGGCAGCTGTCTTGGATTTGTATTGCCACACGAGGCACTGTGAATCCACAGGAAGTCCTTTCCATCTGGCTGTACTTTGATTTACATATCTTCTCATCAGTGGACTTTTTAAGTTCTCCCTGCTCTACTTCATGGCAAGTGAACAATTGGGTGTGGAAGAGAGTTACAAGTTTCCTTAAGAAGCTAATATTGCGAGCTATTTCCAGGTGTCTTTTTTTGTACTGACTTTAACTTACTGGGATATAAAGCTGGCTTAAAGTTTACAACAATCATTTCCCCATAAAAGCAAGGGTCTCAGCTATGAGAGACAAGGGTAAGGTATATGTTTGGGAACATTAGGGTTTGAAGGTATTAGAAATTAGAAGAACTTTAGTGTTGAAAATTGTTGAGCAAAGCACAAATCATGTAAAACCACAGGACTTCTCCAACGTAATTGAATGAATATTCTTCTAGCAATAAAATTACTTTGGATAATAAATTTCTTGGATATATTTTAGGTGAGAAGAAAATAAAGTATGCCAATTAAATAGCAAACCAGAGTAAACTTGATTACTTAAATTATGAAATATTATAAAGTACTTCAGCATCAGAAACTCTTATTTTTGTTTTGTTTTAACAGAAATATTGAAGAAGATATCTAATAGAGTATCACCATAAACATGTAGAGTTTGTGCAAATACATCAAGCCAGTTCACAGTAGGGCTGACCTATTTTGTTCTGTTGTATGGTTTGCTGCCTTTTTAAATTCTGGTTTTCCTTGAGTTTTGCGAATTTCTGAAAATACGATAGTAAAAGATAATAATTATTTAGTTATACTCTGGCATTGTATTCTGCAATTCTTATTAAGGCTTTCTGAGATTCTTTATTAAGTGGTTACTCTTACCGTCTTCACTTGATGGATGGGAAAGTTGAAAGTCACAGAGTCATAATAAAATGTAAGGCCACAGAATCCTGAGAGGCGGTGTTTGCAGCTGTGTCCTCTTGACTCTCAAGCATGAGCTGTGTACCCTGGGTGGCATCTCACCCTTTCAGGCTGTGTTCTCTGATGCCCTAATTGTTCTTTGAGATCAAAGGTTAGTGGTGCAATAGAGTGAAATCTGTGGTTGCTGTTGATGAAGGCGAAACTCTCTTGTGTGTGTGTTTTCAGTCAGAACACCTCAAGCCTGTGCACATGATTCCATGTCTGCCATACAACTCAACAAAGCCCTCTCCTTCACCTGCTCCATACCAGCACTCAACACTCCTACAGTGTCATCCATGCATCTGTAACTTGGTCTGAGCCCTTTCTGCTCCAGTCATTGTGCTTGGTTAACTTCTAGTCAGCCATGTTTCCTCATACCTATCTCCTTCTTTGAAAAGGATATTCCTGATCTCTGAGATAGAGCCTTGTGATGGTTCTGAGGGCTGATGCCCCAGCCCAACACTCAGTATATTTGCTACCACACTCTTTTCCCTGTTGTAATTACTTTGATGCATAATCTCTGCCATATTAAGTCCACTGGCAAAGAAGACCAGCATCTGTTCCACTTCATATTCCAAGTTCCTGCCACAATGCCTTACACATTGACAGAGAGACTCAATAAATATCTGGAAGGGCAAGGTTAATTTTTAATAAGTGATGAACACATATTGGGAAAGAGAAACTATATTTCCAACTTAAGAAATATGGATTAGTATACTTTTTTTAAATTAAAAAAATGAGAAGATAGAGATTTGAAGAGGAACTTGTGACAACATTTTAAAAATAAATTTTATATTTTGCTAAGCTTTAAAATCATTTCCTAATACAGAATGATATAACTACTTAAAAAAAAAACCCATTAATACACTCTGGCTACTATAGCCTGACTCAAGGAAATTACCTTGCCAAATGGAAAGTTATCCTTAGGCCCCTAAGTTTATGTTTATTTCTCCCTCAAAAAAGCTAGTGCACCACTCCAAGCAGAAGAAAGGCTTCTCTTCAGCTCATCCCTTCCCATCATTGTTTAATGAATGCTGGCACTGATTCAGCCTTAGAATTTAAGTGTTTCTAGAATACTGTGTCAGCATTTTAAAGATGTCTTTGGGTACAAGAAATTCATATTAAATGCACAAACAGTTTTACTTTGGAAAAAGAGGAGTTCTACATTTTTAATTCTCTAAGCAAATAAATAGAATTTGGGAATTAAATGTTCAGTGTTGTCTAAGTTGCTAAAACATTAATATTAATAATAAATTAATGTTTTCCTCTTATTATTATATTATTCTTAGTCCTGAAAATTGTTCTGTTTCAATCTCTCCTCACATTTTATTTAATGCCTTGTGACTAAGAGAATATATTTTGTAGCAGCTTGGTCAGTCAAAGGTCCCATTGACCGCCTCAAGAAGATAACTACTACTTTTGTAGAATTTGTTTGTGATGCTCTGGTACATACCCATTGTGGCATGAGTAACCTGCATCCATTCTATAGATTATAGCAAACAAATAGACTCCAGCTAGCGCAAAAACTACCCAGGGCAGCAACAGTTATTACTGTTACAACACCTGTGTCAACTTTGTAGACTCTGTCCTGAAAGCAGCTCAATTTCATTGCCCTTCAAGCAAGAGAGCAATGGACATTTTTCACTGGACAAAAAGGAAATGTTAACCTTTAAAAAATAATTTAATTTTTTTGTGATTACAATATTGTATAAGTATAATTAATATAATATAATATAATATAATATAATATAATGATCACTTCCTCCTTCCTTACTCTTTTCTTTCTCAAACCCTCCTGTGTACTGACCCCTTTTTCATTTTCAAATTCATAGCCTCTTTTCTCTTTAATTGTTGTCTCTGTCTCTCTGTCTCTGTCTGTCTGTCTGTCTGTCTGTCTGTCTGTCTCTCTCTCTCTCTCACACACACACACACACACACACACACACACACACACACACACACACACACACAAACTCCTAAATATAAATACAGCAGGTTTGGTTATGTATGTTTTTTTAGGGCTGACTATTTGGTATTTGATAACAAATTTGTGTGCTCTTCCCCGAGGAAGAGTATTTCTACCAGCCTCAGCATGTCTTAATTGCCTGTAGTCCTTTGTCTAGGTTTGAGGCTTTGTGAGCTTCCCCTGTTCCACCATAGAAGGTTTATTGATGGTGTCCTTGTTCAGCTCATCTTTAGGCAGTCATTGTGGAGGCCCAACTTACTCAAGGTCAGAGAATCCGAGCTTGCTTTACCCAGCAGGGGTGCATAAGGGGATGATTTGACCATGGGCATGGTTACCAGGGGTTTGGAAGGGTCTGCACTTGGTTGTGTCGTGTGCTTTGATCTAGCAAGAGGGAGGTCTTTTGCCCTGCCTCTTGGCATTGTTATAAAAAGCCCTTTTGAGTAAACAGAAAAGGTCAATGGTTTTGATCCATGTCCTCCTGAAGCTATTCTGTGTTTCTGTCTTTCTCCTCTTTGCTATCTTTCTATCTAATATTTCTTATCCCTCTTTCTTCCTCATAGGAACCCTGGAAAAGGTGCGAGTTGGCCTCCCACAAGTCATGATGGTGAGATTTCATGGGTGTGACTTCTGACATTACTAGGAGACACAATCTCACAGAAAATGTCCCGCTCCTTTGGTCCTTTCAATCTTCCCAGCCCCTCTTACACAATGATCCCTGAGCCTTAGGTGAAGGTGGTATGTTGTAGATATATCAGCTGAGAATTGATTCCACAACTTTGCATTTTTATCAGTTATGGTTTTTCTCTAATGGTTCTCTAATCTGTTCCTAAGAGAAGTTCCCTTGATGGAGGGTGAGAACTTTACTTACCTGTGGCTATAAGTCTTGATATGTAGTAATTAGGGATTATGCTAGTTTAATAATGTGGCAAATTGTATGTTCTTCCCCAGATCCATGACTTCACTAGCTCCTGTGCTATGTTTCTAGTACCAGGCACGATTTCCCTCTTGTTGAGAGAGCCTTAAGTCTAATTAGAGAGGTGTTGGTTACTACCAAGGTGTGTGTGCGCTGCTACAGTACACTTAAGATTCTCTTATCATGCTGGTTGCTGTTGTGGTTCATAGGTATCATAGATAGGTAGGATCTATTATTAGTTCCTTCCCTCCTTTAGAAGCTTGTATGTCTCCTTCTGATACCATGAGAGTTAGTCATCCTAGAGGAAGCTTTCAGGTCAGATGCAGTTCTAGTCCTTTGGGTTCTGTGTCCCAAATAAACAGTGTCTTCAGCAATAGGGACTTACCTTCCACCTTTAGGGGTGGGCAATTAAGGGGAATAGCAATAGCCTATAATGTTTTGGGAATCACTTGGACAACTCTGACTCAAAAGAGGGCTTCTCATGCCTGGTGTTGGGGTTTTTGTTAGATATTTTGTGCCTCTTTGAGGGAACACTGTCAGCCTGGATGGAAAACTTGGTTTAAACTATGTACGTATTTGTATACACTGGCTTACATGTGTTATAGGTACCTTTTGGTAGATAGTTAATAGTGTGATTCCTTATGACCTTTTCAAAAAGCATTACCATTATTTTACCCACCTTCCTCCTCTCTATTTATGATCTGTATTTATATCCCTCCCTCCTCCCTAAGTAAAGCTTCCGTTTCCCCAATTCTCCACTCCAGATCACTTATACTCTGCTATTTCCCTCTCTACTGCTCTTCTCATTCCATCCTGCCATGGTCTCTTTTTACTTTCCTGGTTTCTACAGTTCCTCCAGGTTATATACTCACTTCTGAAGACTTGAGGCTAGGAGTCTCAGATGAAAAAGAACATGTGAAGTTTGTCTTCCTCAGACAAGGTTGCTTTACTCAATATGATTATTTCTAGTTCTGTACATTCACCAGCAAATTGCATGATTTCATTTTCTTCACAGCTGAATAGGATTCCATAATGTATACGTACTACATTTTCATTTTCCATCATCAACTGAAATAGATTTAGGTTGTTTCCATTTCCTAGTTATTGTAACTAGAGCAGCAATGAACAATAGATTAGAAAATGTCTGTAGAGTAGCATGTTAGGTCCTTTGGGCATATGCCAAAAAGTGATATAGCTTGGCCATTTGGAAGATTTAATTTTAGCTTTCCAAGGATATTCTCTGACTGATTTCCAGAGTGACTGAATTAGTTTGAAATCCCACCAACAGTGGAATGGGGGTTTCCTTTTCCTGCACTCTTCCAGAATCTGTTATCTATTGTTTTGTTAATCTTTGCTATTCCGACTGGGGTAAGATGAAATTTAAAAGTTGTTTTGATTTTCATTGTCCTAATTTCTGGGGATGACATATTTCTTAGCCATTATTTTTTTCTTTTGAGAACTCTTTGTTCAGGTCCCAGACTTAGTATTGAGTGGGTTGGATTTTCACTTGTGTTTGTTTGGTTGGTTTTTGACTCTTTATTTTTAATATAGTTCTTAATGTATTCTGGATATTAACCCTATGTCATATGCATAGCTGACAAAGACTTCTTTTCATTCTCTGGACTTTCTCTTCAGTTGGTTGATTTTTTTCAGCTGTGTAGAAGCTTTTTAGTTTTATGAAGTCTCACTTGTCAGTCATTTGCCTTAATTCTTGGGCAAATGGCATCCTATTCAGAAAGTCCTATCCTATACCTATATCATGTAGCATACTGCTCATGCTTTCCTCTAGCAGTTTTAGGTGTAGTGTTTCTGTTTTTGATCTATTTGGAGTTAGTTTTTGTATAAGATGATAGATATTATTCTAAATTCATTCTTTAGACATTCAGTATTCATATCATCATTTGTTGAATATCCTTTTACCTCCAGTTTGTGCTTTTGGTAGCATTGTCAAATATTAAATGGCTGAAACTATGTGTACTCATGTTTAGGTCTTCAATTTTGTTTCATTGGCCTACACATCTGTTGTGTATCAGTACCATATTGTTTTTATTATTATGGCCCTGTAATATATCTTAAGATATATTGTTCTTTGTGCTCAGGATTGTTTTGACTATCTAGGATACTTTGTAGTTCCATATGAATTTTAGGATAGTTCTGTCTATTTCTGTTAGGAATAAAATAGGGATTTTATTTGGGATTACATTGACTCTGTAAAAAGCTTTTGGAAGAGTGATCATAAGTTGTACACTTATGTGGTTTATAATATTCACTGACTCGTGTATGTTGAGCTATCCCTTCATTTCAGGAGTAAAGCCAACATGGTCATGATAGATGATCTTTTTAGATTTATGCCTGTATTCAGCCTGCTAGTATTTTATTGAGCAGTTTTGAATCTATGTTCAACAGCTATATTGGTCTGCAGGTAGTTTTTTTTGTGTGTCTTTACCTGGCTTTGATATTCAGCGATACTGACTTCATGGGAAGGAGTTTTGGAAGTCTCTTAGATCCCCTCACTTCCCTGCCTCTAATAACTTGAAGTGAGGCTTTTCTTGTCTGGCACTGAGGTTTTGTTAGTCAGTGGCTTTTAGGAGGATCATTAACACATGATGGGGAATAATTCCATTGAAATTATATATATATATATATATATATATATATATATATATATATATATTTTACATATATATATATTATACATACATACATGTATTTTAAATAAGCTTGTAATATAATGTTTCCTATGGCTTTTTCAAGCATTCTTAGTGTTATGTATCTCTTCTTTCTTCCTTTCCTTCTGTACTAACCCCTTCCCCATTAAAGTCTTCTGCTTCACCTTCTTCTTTCCCCCTTCATAGCACAGATGTCCATGTACTAGCTCTTTCTTTAGTGACTTCTCTACATGGTTCTCCCCATGGTCCCTTTCTTCTTTCTTGGCTTCTGTGGTTACTTCAGATCGACACTCAGATCTAAAGATTTGGAAGGAGGATTCACAAATAAGACACCTCTTACTTGTTTTTTCTTTCTTTGATTTTTTTTTTTTTAAAAAATATGTTCAGTCCCTGTATTTCTATGTTGGTCTGATTTTACTGTTTTCTCTACTTGTCCTTTAATGCCAGAGTTGAAAATGTGACCTTTTCCCAATGACTTTAGGAGCTTTCTAAAACTGTTAACAGACTCAAGTGAGTGGAATGTAATTCTGTTCTTCGTGGAACTTTATGCAGACAGGTATAGATAATCTTGTTTTTAAGTAGTCCATTCAGTGAGAATGAATTCATTGTTATTCTTCCCTGTGTTCAAAAAAGAAGAGATTCAGATTTTTATCTGCCCTGCGATTGGCACAGAGATGTATTATGACCTTCCCCTTGTACACAAATTACAGAGCAGGTGCGTGGGCGTGAAAGAGAGCATCTAGCAGCCACATTGGGATTAAGACAGGCAGGCAGGCAGAGAGTCATGCTCAGTCTGCATGAGTCATGAAAACTGAATGAGATCAATCTTTAGAGATGAGAATGGGGCACTGGGCCCCTGAGGAAAGAGAAGAGGAAGCAAACCATGGACAGAAACCTTGGAACACTAGGACAACTTTTTATAGATACTTGATTTTGTCTAAGGCTGAGCTGTCAAGGACATTTGGAAATTTTTCCACATCAAATGTTAATGTTCTAATAAATAGTCCCATTTTATGTGTCTACCTTTTTATTGATTTAGACAATATTCTCATGATGATTATAGGAAGTGGAAGCTTGTGACACCTTTGAGATTTCAGAAGATGCCTGTAATTGAATTAGAAATAGGGACTGTGGCAGGAAACAAAGGCAGAAAGGGGAAGGGGGGCAGTTATATAAGTATTGTGAATCTTTTAGAAGGATCAGGTCAAATTTGAGGATTTTAAGAGCTACTTGGTACCATGAGGTAGAATAATAATGGAATAAAGTTGATAATTTTGGTGTTAGTAGAATTATAGGAGTGCAAGAATTAGAACAAAGTTGAGTTTGCTGTTATTGTAACTGTACCATCAGAAGAGGGTGATATCTTGGATGATATTGAGATGCGGGGGGAAATTATAACTGTAGAATTTATTGAGGCAAAAAATTTTATGGATAACACTAGAAATTTGGACCAGAGAAAATGATAAAATTACTATTGACTTCAACAGAGAAGTTCCAGAAGAAATGGATTTTGAGAAGAGGAAAAAAATGAAAGGTTTCTTGGTGGTAACACATGCTTCCCAATCCATTGTGGTCTCTTCAGTAGTACTGCATATCGGGAGTGAGAGTATTCAGGGACTGTACTCTCCCATGGTACAACTGGAGTGAAGCTAGGGTTTTTGTTTTTCACGTATTATTTTTACATAAAATCAAGAGACTTAGTTCTCATTTCTCTTATTTCAGAGAAAGATGCTTTGGAAGAGTATAGTTAGCAAGCTATTCTTTGATCCCAATACTTGTCAGAGCAAAATTCAAATCTCCAGTCATGAGTCTTTGAGTCTTCTTGAAAGTGACACCCTCATCGGCTCAGCCAAAAATATAGTTATGAAAAATGTGCATAATGTGTATTTAATGGCCCGTATGAGGTCTTTCATGAGGAAGCACTGGTCAGTATACTCGTCATTATTAGATAGGGGTCTAGTTTCTAGCAATGCCCATGCTAGGTAAGTTAATAAAATGAATCTGTGGCTGATGGTTGTAAATGTATCAAGATAGAACACCATGTGAGGGACTCCAAAACAACTAGGTGCAGGAAGCTGCTCTTCTTAATGGGAGGGCTGAAGAGAGGACTTCACCTCCAGTGGCAGAGGAATCTGTGGACTTTCTCTCAAGTCTTCCACTATACAGCTGGACCAGAGAGCAGTGGGATCTCTGTGCAGACTGCTTAAAGCCAAGAGACAGGCACAAGGCATCAGCTTTCTCTCTGCTCTTCAGTCTGCTGAGCTTCCCTCTTGAAAGCAGGAGGCACAGGAGCCTCCAAACACAGCATCCAGCATCCAGCATCCAGCATCCAGCATCCATGCAATTCAAAACAGAGGCCAGGGTGACGAAAAGAGCTGAGGCAAATGAGCAAGTAGACCACCTCCCAGAGATGCTGGGTGCAAAGAAGTTGGCGAATGTCTGCCTCAGCAACCAAAGGAACTATATAGTGTAGGGGGTCTAACCACATGAAGTCAGGCTCTGGTGAACACAGAGGATTGTTACTGCAAACTGTATTTGATTCCGAAGCTTTGTAATAGCCCATGTTTGTTTTTGCTTTTCTTATGGTGGCAGATTCTTCCGACAAAACGTGGGAGCCCACTGAGACCCCAGCTTGTGGCTTGTTTTCATCTTGACTCAAGGTCAGAGAGTCTGAGCTTGTTTTCCCCTGCAAGTTTGCTTAATAGGATATTTTGGCCAAAGGCATGGTTACCAGATATCTTATACCTCAAGGCCTAATTACAGGATGCTTTGCTGTAAGACATGATTACCAGATGTCTTGAGTACAAAGGAGGTGTTTACAATCCATTGTTCTTTGTACCTTGAACCATGATGTCCTTCAAAGGGGGAGATCTTTTTGCCCCCCTTGCTTTGAGTATATAAAGGCTGTGAGTAATAAACTCAGGTGTCTGTGGTATTGACCCAGAGCCCTCCCGAAGCTATCCTGTGTGTTTGTCTTTTTCTTTATCTATGTCTATATTTCATAGCTATCATTTCTCAATTGCACACCCCCACCAGAACCATTCCACAGGTTGAGCAAGATTCGACACAAAATGGCAGAGAGAAAGGAGAGATCAATAAAGAATATATTCTGTTTTCCAATTATGGTAGGGAAAGAAAAAATCCCATATGCCTGAATCAGTGGTAGAAGAATATGAGAGGATGAGAACAGACAAATTATGTGGGATAATAAATTACTCAAAATAAGCAGCACCCATTAATAACACTCATCCTTAAGATTCCCTTTCTTTCTCTTTCTTTCTTTCTTTCTTTCTTTCTTTCTTTCTTTCTTTCTTTCTTTCTTTCTTTCTTTCTTTCTTTCTTTCTTTCTTTCTTTCTTTCCTCTC